GGCTGAGGCAGGAGGATTGCTTGAGCCCAGAATTTCAAGGCTTCAGTGGGCTATGATGGCACCACTGCCCTACAGGCTAGGCAACACAGCAAGACCCTGTCTCTAAAAAATAACAATAATAATAAATGCAATAGTTAATGTTATGTATATTTTACCACAGTTTAAAAAGCAAATGTTGGCTGGACACAGTGGCTCATGCCTGTAATCCCAGCACTTTGGGAGGCTGAGGCAGGTGGATCACCTGAGGTGAGACCAGCCTGGCCAACATGGTGAAACCCCATCTCTACTAAAAATATAAAAATCAGCTGGGTGTGGTGGCACATGCCTGTAATCCCAGCTACTCGGGAGGCTGAGGCAGGAGAATCACTTGAACCCATGGAGTGGAGGTTGTGGTGAGCTGAGATCATGCCACTGCACTCCAGTCTGGGCCACAGAGTGAGATTCCATCTAAAAAAAAAAAGGCAAGCATTAAAGAATTAACCTTGGCTGGGCGCAGTGGCTCACACCTGTAATCCCAGCACTTTAGGAGCCTGAGGCAGGCGGATCACAAGGTCAGAAGATCGAGATCATTTTGGCTAACATGGTGAAAACTTATCTCTATTAAAATACAAAAAAATTAGCCAGATGTGGTGGCCCGTAGTCCCAGCTACTTGGGAGGCCGAGGCAGGAGAATCGCTTGAACCCCAGGGATGGAGGTTACAGCAAGCCAAGATCACGCCATTGCACTCCAGCCTGGACGACAAAGCGAGACTCGGTTTCCAAAAACAAAAACAAAAACAAAAAAAACCTCCTTCTGAGCTCCCTCTGCCAAAACAAAAAATTAAAAATATTTCCGTATTATTATTTGAAATGATAACAGCTTCTTTACCTGGGGCCAGAAACATACGGTCAGCAGCAATGGCTGTGTCAGTGCTGGATTCCAGAGTTTCTTCTCTGTGGAATTGTCTAGAATGCCAGGCCCCTGTTTCCGGCTGGGCTCATTGAATAAAGGGGGCTAGGGAGGGAGGAGGTGGAGGTGCCCCGGTGGCAGCTCAGGTCTGGGCCAGGTTCTAGGCGGATGCACTGGCTTGCCGTTGGGTGGCTTAATGACTTCTGTTTTCAGTCAACAGAGGTCAGAACAGCTGCTTTCCATTTCTCCCAGGAAGTCTTCCGGGCACACAGCAGCACTTATCACACCAGGGTTTGTAGTTTGGTCACAGTATCCCCTCCCCCACCCCTGAAGAAAACTCTGGTATTCAGAAATGTACACAGAACATGTAACAAACACATGGTACCCACCACTCAGGACTAGCCTTTGCTAACAATTTCCTCTCTTTGCTTTGAGTCTTTTTTTTTTTTTTTT